ACACAAGCGAGACGTTTACACGCACAATAGAGCGCGGTACCGTACGACGAGTTACGTTGCGAGTATCCGAGTATCGGTGGTTCCCGCAGTTTTTTCCGACGATGCATTGGTGATAGCGACGTTCTCGGCACCAGTGACCGCGCCACCAGAACGCCCCAGGATCGGTAAGTCGACGTATATTCGATTCGCGTCGCGTCGCGACATTCGCCTCGGGATCGTCGGCGTAGTCGACCCGAGGCGACGACAGTCAACCGGGCGATCAATGCGATCTCGCGCGGGTGTGCCCGCACCATCGTCCTGCGTCGTTCCGATTCCCATTCGCGTTTCTCGCCTCCTTTTTCTTTTCTTTTTCTTTTTTCTTCTGCCGCGCCGCTCCGCATCGTGGGAACTCGCGCCGCAGATGCGACATCCCCCCCTCCTCCCCTCCTTCCCATGGGAGACACCGGAACGAGACGCGCCCGAGATCGTCGATTCGATCGCGTTTCCGCTCTGCGAAGCCCGCGAAGGACGACGAATGAGATCATCGCGGCGAACGTCGTCGAGACGCGACGGTGACTCGCATTCTAATCGGCCGACGTAGTGACGTAATGCCAGAGAGACCCTTTCGCGGATCCTCCCGATGACGTTCGAGCGGTCCCGTGGATGAGCGATTCGCGATGACCCGCGTTCACACCGTTACGTGAGATACACCGCCTCTGCTTGGCCTCTTTTTTTTTTTCTTTTCTTTCTCCTTTCCTCTTTGTTTCCATCGGTTCCGGGTGCACGCCCATTTTTCGCGTCACCATTGGCAACCACCGTCCCACAACATCCCGGCGAATTTGAAAATTTCAAGATAACTGGGTCAGCTTCGATTTTGCGGCCGATCACGCCGAAGCTTTTTAAGCGCATGCGCGTATGTGTCCTGTGTGTGTGTATATATACACGTATATTTCTACGTGCAATTTTGTGTTTACCGCAATGGCAAAAGCGCCACGGGGTACACGACCGCGGAGTGATGCGCGATTAATTGAAGAAAATCTCTGACGATACCACTCGTTATTATATTACTCGAATCGTGAGCGAATGTTTTATGGTTACCGATTTTTTAATACGAAACCGGGAGAATCCAAGGTACTAAGGTAAAAGTGTCAATAATTGGGATATAGCAACAATTACACACCTACATCTCACACCTACGTCTTTTATTCCAAAGGTCAGTCCTTTTGGACAGTGTTTCCTTTAGATTAGTTTTTATTTTCTCAAAGCTTAATTTTGCCCTTTTATTGTATGGGAAATTTTTTTTCAACTAGAGTTTCAATGACTAATGTCGTACTAACGAGTTTAAATTTTTCAAAATAAGATATGTAAAATATAAATGTATATAAATATAATTTGTCTTAATTATATTTAAATTTTTTAATTTGTATTATATTTTTAATTTTTTAATTAAAATTATTCAGGTTACATTCGTTTTCATTTTTTATTATTTTGAACGTTATATTCCAAATTTAAATTAAGGATTTGTTCTAACACAATTGTACCAGTTTCAAATTATCAGAAAATTACAGAACATCTTATTTTGGTGCATTATGCAAAAAAATTTTGTAATACGCAGGTTCCTAATAATCACAAATCACAAATTTGGAAACATGTAGAAACAAAACTCCAAAATTTTGAGATTTAATCCTTAATTTTCTCGAAGAAAATATAGCCACCATACTTATACATATCACGTTTTATAAAACTGTCAAAAAGATGTCATTACGACGTTTTCAATATCTTATGACTCATGATTATTCTTATGACTCTTATGATTTATGACAACTTTGAAACATCTTATAGACTGTTGTTTCAGATTATTTTTAATTTTATAGTAGAATAAAAATCTTTAAATTCCTATTCACTCACCACTACTATCTCTCAAATTGGAATGTCAGAAGTGAAGAAACATACAATAAAAATTTTTGCAAAATATATTTAAATATATTTTTCAATAAAACAACATTTGCAATAGAATAGACGGAAAATATATCAAAAACTGTCTTTTTGTCTCAAGGAATAATTGAATCATCATATTTATTTCTATATATTATTAATTTTTGACTTGTTGTTATAGTTGTGAACTTAGCTTATTCTGTTTTTGATCAAGCATAACTTATTTTCAGGTATATAGTTATTAATTAATTTTGAAACAAAACGGAAAGTTCGGTATATTTTATAAGTCGTTTCTATCGATTGTAAATGTAGTTTTATTGAAATATATTTCCATTTTAATGTATCTTGCAAAAGAATTTTTTCTGTGTATTTTTTTTTGCTTTTGACATCATAATCTGAGGTAATAAGTGGACAGAAGCTTTAATTATGCAGAAACACGTTGATGAGAATACGAGGCAAAAATTAGCGTTGCCAGATAAATTTGTATATCAATTATTAGTATTTATTTAATTTTGCTCTATCTGTCCATTATTTTTTATGTATTCAAGAAAGAATACAAAATTCAAAATCGGGATATAAGACGTTTTATATTCTGATTTTGGAATTTGCGTTGTCTGAGTATGTATATATATCGCAATAGAAATTTTTATTAAAGATTATATAGGTATCAAGATTATAACCCTTATTGACCTTATTGAAATGTGATTAAGATGTTGATTATTTTTTTGTAAGGTTGCTTTTGCCTTGAGAATTGTAACACTCGGGAACTGTGCCCTTAATCTGCGTTTCATATATAAAAGTAATGAACGATATATAAAAGGACTGGTCTAGAGCAATTTTGCCCAGATTACGGAGAATGGAAGAAAAATTTAAAAAAAAT